TATCCCTGCAGACAATATTGTACATAAAAATGAAAAGATTCAGAGCTGCGCAAATCATATTATATTCTTCATGAACAATGAAAAAAAACACTCTCAATGAATAAATGTAAATGAATGTTTCCTTAACACATGTTTAAGTTCTTAATATGTATCTCAATGAATACGTTCAAAGACAATCGAGCACGTTTAAAGGGAAATAATAAAAGCCAACAGGTTAGAAAATGTACTTTGCTTTTGTCACAATGGGGAGTTACCTGTGATGATATCGTGGTGTTGAATTCATCAACGTCTTGTTTGATACATGTTGATAAATGGTGATAAGTTGATCGCATAACCTCGGTTATCGGGAGGACACACATAACATTGCATGCGTGTGTAGACGAGCTCAAAGTGTCAATACTCAGGAGGAAATACATCTGTCGTTTCGATTACCATATGGCTGTGTTTCAGATCATGTGTTCAAGCACTCTTTTTAATGGTGGTATGTTTCATTTATAAGTAAAAACCATGAATAATGCATTCATTTTTTGTAACGTGTTCAGCAATGTTTCTACAGACATACATATACATGAGAAACGTGTAAAAGACGGTCAGTTGGGTTTTCTGCTGAGAAACAGCTTGAATTTTTCAAGATCAAGTTGCCCAATAAAAACATGACAGGTGTTTCTCATTTACTCCTCTAGAACGTTTATACTGATGATTAACACTTTTTTCAAGCAAGTTTTCTTTTCACGCACCGATCATTTGTTTTGTCAAGAGTCACACGTTTAACAAATGTTCCACATCTTTATTGCCGACTTCCATTATTCCTATTCCCAGAGGTTGTTAGCACGTCAGAGAACGTAAAAACATATAGTGTGCTCTGTAAACGTTTGTTTGGAGGGGGCACAGGTGGCCCAGTCGTCTAGGTCGTCGCGATTCGCAGTGCAGAGTTGCGTCCCTTGGGCACGTCAGAAACCTATGATTGTGGGTTCGAATCCCGGTTCGCCCCGATTATGTTTCTAGGTTTGTCAGCACCATACCCGTGCTCGTGGGTTTCACCACAGTGGTAAACGTCTAAGACCTGCATCACTTCGGGCTTTCCTCCCAAATTAAGCTGACACGCCGCGATAGAGCTGGAATACTGTTAAAATCGGCGTTAGACCCAACTCACTCATTTGTTTGGAAATAACCAGTTACGACTGTTGTTTTGGCATAGAAGTAAAACAGTTTTAAGTGACAAACAAGTTTACCTGTCCTTAGAGTGTATGTCGTTGTCTGTATACCCCCAAACACCCATCCCCCCTCCTACCCGCATTGGTTTTGTTTCAGAAAAATGTGCTTGTTCGTCTTTCAGATACAGCCATCAGTTTATGTTGGCACATATTTACTCGTCAGTTACATGTCGTCATTTCGAATCTCATTCAACTTTCTACATGTCTTAACACAATGTAACTGTGTGTATTTATATGGCTAGAAGGTTCTTTTATCTGTGATTTCATCTTGTGTCATCTTGTGTCTTGTTTCGAACTAGGGAAAAGCCGCTTCGCCCCGTTCCACAAAGCCAAATCTTCGCGCTAAATGTGACCGTAACGCCTATATATTTTAGGCTTACGATCGTCGTAGCTCAAAGATCGATTTCTGGAACGGGGCTCTATAGCTAATCTGGTCCTGAGGCTTTAAGGTCTGGACTTTTCCTGTGTGTGAATGTTTTCTACTCCCGTAGTCTCGTAGTCTCATGTCTCTTCGTTACAACATGTGTACAAGGAGTAATTATGGAATTTTCAAGGCTGTGATCTTCTTGCTTCAAAACATTGCTACGAAGAATTAATACGCAGTGCTAGGAGCGCCAAGCTATCCGCACCAACTGCTGTGAACTAGTCATCATCTGTCACGCAAACAGTGCATTAGCTCATCGCCTGCTCTCGAGTGAGATTTAACGCTGGCGACATAAACGTCAATTCTACTTAATTAACAACACTTTGTTTCGGATTTGTTCTATCTTTTCCTTACAGCCCTAGCTACAGCTTTTCGTTTTCTTCAGAAGAATTGTCAATACAACACAGCCCAAATTCGAACAGTCAATATTCGTCGACACTGGAAGAGACATGATCCGGCCTTTCAGCATCACACGAACAGTCAATAAATATGATATTTTACCCCATCTGCATTCTGTAGAATGTTTTTTGTTTCATTGATATACTAGAATTTATTTGTATGATTGTTATGTTGTACAAGTGCGATACATAAGCCTTAGCGACCATATTCAAAATTCGACGTTCATAAAGTTCGGTCCTGTATAGTATGAAGGTTCTTGCAACAACGATGTTGCTCACAGTGAAATTCATGTCTAACCTTATCTTTATATCACTATACGGGGTACGGGTGGCCCGGCCTTCTAAGGCGACGCAAATCACTGTGCAAAGTTGCGTTCCTTGGGGATGCCAGACACCTGTGATTGTGGTACGAATCCTGGGTCTCAAAGTTGTATTGTTGGGCGTGCCAGGTCCCGGATTCTTCCTGATTATGATCCTTTACTTGGCAGCACCATACACGTGCTCATGCATGGGTATCACAACAGAGGTAAACGGTTCAGACCTGCATCATTTCAGGCTTTCCAAATACATTATGCTGACAAGCAGTTATATACCCTCTTCAAAAAAAGAAAGAAACGCACAGGTGGTATATAGTTCATTGAACCTGACTACACAAATAAATCCGGTATATATATTGGATATATGTTATTGGAAAATGTTCGTGGCCTGATATTCGACAAACGGTGCGTCAAAACGCAGCCAATGTCGATTTGCAATGTCTCACACGTCATGGTTTTCACATGTTACCGAAAGAATAGATATAAGAGCTCCTTTACTTACAACATTTCGTCACAATTCCTTACTGCTTTAGAAATCGTTTGGTTCGTCTGGCTATGAAGCTCGCTGTTTAATGCTGCATTTGCTTGTTCATGTGCTGCACCCCGATGTATTTATTGTTAACAATTAATATCTCTAATATCATACATGTATTCCATTGGTATACAACTTATCTGTGTATGTATTACATATTTTATGCTATCACTGTAAACTTATAAATTTGAATAAAAACGAGTTGAGTAACAGTCAGCCAACAAACCAGACCTCCATGGCACCGCCAACTGGAGCATGTAATCTGTTTCACAATTTAGCATTTTTCGGGGTGGGGATAAGTCTCCTAAATAACGATTTTATCTGACATTGAAGTTATGAACTGCTTGCTGAGCCTCGTGTCATCTTGTCCTTCTGTTTATGTTGAAATAATCACTAACACGTACATTCGTGATAAAAAAGAAACACAAGTCGCCAGTACAATAACATTTCAATATCTTTCTTCTAATGTAGTTCAGACCGCCTCCGTGGTCTAGTGGTAGAGCGTCCGCCCGGGGTTCGATCTCCGACCGCGTCATACCAAAAGACGTTGAAAGATGGTACTTGTTGTTACCCTATCTGGCGCTCGGCATTAAGGGGCTAAAACAAGGACTGGTCGGCTCGGAGTCAGTATACTGTGTCTGAGTGGGGTATTCATGTTAAACTGCGGCATGGTATCTCAGTGAGCTAGCACTATAAATCGGCATCAGTCCGAACTAGTACAAGCAGCCACACACACACACACTCACACACACACACACACACACACACACGTGCATGCACGTCGCTATATAACTGCAATAAGCTAGGACGCGACGTTAAACCCCTCTAATATAGTTCAATAATGAGTGAAGCGGATTTGACGCCCCTTATTAAATTATCCCAGTCATATCACCGCGACCACACCAAGATTGGAAACCGACCGAGTGTCTTTGGCGCTACGAACCAACGTTTTTACACCAGGCTACACCACTGCCCAATCTAGTTATGCATGAAATGTACGTATTGTAAACTCGACTGTCAACCTCGTCATGCAATTCTGGCACAACCGTGAGGCAACATCGAAACAATGAAAACCTAAGCCTCCTTTCAAATTAGATCGGTTAACATAACATAAGAGCACTGGCATGAAAACGATGAACGTTGAAATCCGTTTGCCCAGTACTACACTGATAATGACGGGCATTTAAGACCCGTGGTTACCTGGTTTAAAAAAAACACTAGGAAACATGCATGCAACTAAATTCGATCGGGGGTCAGACTCGGTGACTTGATTCATGTTATTGTACCACGACGACATAGGATGTTTTTCATAGTGTCAATCACTGGTTTTCCGGCCCAGACTCCATTACTGTGATTTGTCAGAAATATTTCTGAAGGCGGCGTTAAAACCTTACAAGTAAAAACTAAAGGCTATTGAATTTAGTTATAATGGGTTTTCGCAGGTTGGAAGTAATTTATTTAGGCTGGAAATGTAGTTATTTAAAGTCACATAGTTCTATAGTAGGTTTGGCGTTGTATTGTAACGTAATAGGCAAGTATAAAACATCCTTTGGAAAAGGAGATGTGCATTTAGAGAAAGCTCTAATAGTCAAATGTTGACAAATACCTGCAATATTAATGAAAGTAATCCGCGAAGCAAGTTGTGTTGACAGCAAATCACCAAATGAGCGAGTTATAGAATTACTGTATGCTTAAAAAAGCAGTCCCCACGACGCTGGACCCGAGTATGAGTTGGCATGTGGTAGTTGTGTTCTTTGTGTTGTAAACATATCACTAAATGAGACAGCCATAGTGCTGTAATAATGCCTGCAACTTTCGCCTGTATGCAATACTGTATGCTTCAAAAAGGGGTTTTGTGGCCATAATTGCAATCACCACGCCCTCTGGACGAACGCAGCACGTGCTTCCCTCAACTGTATGTGACCTCGTTGTTTTGGACATAGATGGTGGTGCATGAGAGGAAAATGCAGAGAATGGGTCTTTATGAGCAGATTTGCTAGTTGCTCGTTATGTCTTATGTTTAGATTATATCCATACATTATCCATACAGTTTGTAATTACTCCGTTAAATAATTGTATAAACAATGACAAAACTATTGTATTGTCATAACTTTGCTTTAACATCTCACAATATTATGCAAGTTATTTATTTGGAAGTGGCAATTTACACAGGAGGTATCGTTGCGCATGTCTCGCCCGTGGTGACGTTCTTGATGCTGCTGGCTGTTTCAGGAGCATCGATGTGAAACACGTGACTCAGAGCTGGGGAAGAAGCTACGAAGTCGACGGTAGTGTTGTCCGATTTTGCGGTGACTGTCACCACAAACACTTCCGCTTTAGCTTTCAACTCATCAATGCTACTGTACACATCTTCACCAGCGCTGCTTTTCCCGTCAGTGAAGAGAAGTACCACGTTTTCGGCGACAGACCGATCGCCATTTGTTTCCGTGAAGACTTCAGACGTTGCTAGTTTGATGGCATCTCCGAGGAATGTATCCCCACCTTTGTGTGTTTGAGAACCGATGGCTGCCATGACGCTTGCCTTGTTGTCACGGAATGTATTCAAGTGGAATACGACTTCAGCTGTTCCCGAGAAAACCATGAAAGCCACGTTCGTTTCAGCTGAGCTTATGTTTATCTTGCTCATGGCATCCACCACAAAGGTCTTCATTTTCTCATATTCACTTTGATTGACAGAGGTAGAAATGTCCTCTATGATGAGCAGGTCCAGTATTTTTGGGGTGCATTCTGTAATATAGGGCATGAGTACATCGTTATGTATAAAAATATAAAGAGCTCCGAACAAACAAGTAAATATAACCCAATGAATGGGAGGTCAAGGCCACTGTGAAGGTAATTCGGAAACTGAAAGAGTTATTCACTGTTCAGACTGTGAAGTCTGAGACATATGACTAAGTGATTGCAAGTTGTTTTATGTCGCAGACACCAATATTCGAGGTATTTCAAGCGACATGTCTGATTCTGATGGAAGATATTTCGTGATATTTATTACATACATTTAATACATTTAGAAGCAGTCCATAAAAAAACACACAAGAAAAACAAGTGGGTTCATTGAAACTCCGTTAGTCTGGATCCCTTTCATTTTGGAATCTATTTTGACGATTATCTTTGGGAGCTGTTGCTGATTAAAAGGAATACTACGACCTTTAATCTTTAATCAGGAAATTTGTATATCAGGACGATTTCACTTGGAACCTAAGCATATATATTGTATGAGCAATGTATTGAAAACTGATTTGAAATATATCTACCTGTTTCACATTCAGTTCCTTTAAAACCTGGTTGGCAGATGCAGGTAAAGGTGCCACCATTCGCTTCACAAGTCCCGTTATTCATGCAGGGATTGTTGATGCATGTATCTACATCTGGAATATATAGAGAAGCACGGGTTAGAATTATAGGTTTTCAGAACTCTGTTGCTTATAGTTAGAGGCTGGCCAGGTTCGTCGACACGTAATACGTTGCTAATGTAACTAACTATTGGTTATACAGCTGGACTATGCTGACTGTAGCGATATTACTTAGAGCGGTGATATAGCTGGAATATTACCAGCTGCGGTCATATAGCCGGAATATTGCTGACTGCGTTGATACAGCTGGAATATTATATTTCAAGCTACTGTGATACAGCAAGAATATTACTGACTGCGGTGATATAGGTAAGAACATTGTTGACTGTGGTGTTAGAGCTGAAACATTACTAACTGCGGCGATAGAGCTGAAACATTACTAACTTGGGTGATAAAGCTTAAACATTACTAACTGCGGCGATAGAGCTGAAACATTACTAACTGCGGCGATAGAGCTGAAACATTACTAACTGCGGCGATAGAGCTGAAACTTTACTAACTGCGACGATAGAGCTGAAACTTTACTAACTGCGGTGATAGTGCCTAAACATTACTAACTGCGGTGATAGAGCTGAAATATTACTAACTGCGGTGATAGAGCTGAAATATTACTAACTGCGGTGATAGAGCTGAAATATTACTAAATGCAGTGATAGAGCTGGAATCGTGCTGACTGCGGTGAGAGAGCTGGAATCATGATTGAATGAAACGGCAGTGATATATAGCTGGGATATTACTAACCGCCGTGATATAGCTGGAACATTACCAACTGCCGTGATAAAGCTAGAAATTACTAACTGCGGTGATATAGGTGGATTATTGCTAAAAGCAGTGATAGAGCTGAAATATTACTAACTGCGGTGACAGAGCCTAAGTGATATAGCCGAAATATTGCTGACTGCGGTGATAGAGCTATAGTAATACTAACGGTTGTGATATAGCTGAAATATTACTAACTGCGGTGACATATTTCAAGATGTAGGATGCATAATAATATCAAAATATTCTGCTTGACTTGTTCTTAACGTCAAAATATGTTGCTGGGTTCGTGTCAATAAAAGTAAGTTTCTGTTCAAATCCACGAGATACGTGGCTTCAGTGTTATCAATCATATATATATATATATCACAGAGCATATATATCACAGAGCATTTCCCCGATTTTGATTGGTCACCTGACCACCGATCAATGACCCAATCAGATTTATGCTTCTTCGTGAATCCCCGACGTTAAAATATGGTGCTTGTTGTTACAGGCATATAGGGGATATAGCCACACACAAACGTACATACACGTCGCTATATTATTACAATAAACTTGAACGCAACGTTCAACCCCATTTCACCTAACCTCACCTAACAGATGATCAACAGACAGGAAATGTCCTTTTGGGAACACAGAACGCCAAACGTAGGGTTGGGTTTCGACGGGAGATCTGGAATGGTTTGTTCTTCTGCTTTGACAATATATTACTGCAGGCTTTGACAGGGCAAGGACGAACTGAGTTTTCTTTCGAACATTATCTTCACATTGTTATGTTAATGGTTTACCATATACGGTAACCCAATAGTGGATTACGTAATGTCATAACGTCACGAAGTAGTGGTACGTATAAACTAAACGTGATGAGGAAATAGATGAATCCCACACCAGCCATCTTGTCATATGGACGTCACGTCTCTCCCGTTGTTGGAGCTAATACAAGGACATTTTACAACTACATGTATGTGTGATGCTGTGATAACACGGTCGTTTTACAAAACAAATCAAATTAACTCAATGTTATATTTAATACTGCTTTGAAACTGAGAATTTCTTTCACACCTCCAACCAATTATTCATACCAAGTTAAATGTAGTGAAGACTTCGAATCACATTTACCAATAATTTCATTTCGCCACACAATATTTGTTCAACACATGTTTGCTTACCATAACAATACGAGCTTGCCCCATTGAGACTTGACAGCCTGTACACTTGCCTACCGTCGCTGCAATTCTGGGTCGGTGTATCCATGAAGGCGAAATAACAATCAGACTTCCGCGAAGCCGCACAAGTCACTGCAATGTCGCCTCTAACCTCTGCAAAACATGACAACATATTATCGTTAATAAACGAAGATCCAAATATTTAAATTGTAGGTCTCTCTTAAAGTAAAACTATATGTGAAAAGACCTGAATTGAATTTCAAATATTCATGTTGATGCTTCCCCTTGATACTCTTTCATATTACCATAGTTAATCTGTCATTTCATGGAAGATCCTTAACTTCTTTTGAGATATATGTATTCCAGCCACTCTGCTCGCATCAGAACACGTTGGTCATCTCGTACAGCGGTGTCAGGAAACCATATTGGAACTCGAGTCATCAGCATCACTAACTCTATTTACAATACACACTTTGCTTGTAGTGATTGTACCTAATATCTATCAACCATAAAAAAATTGTGCCTTGACTTTTTTCAAAATACTCCATACGACCTTAATGCTGTTGAATCGGTCGGTATTTGGCTTACACAGAAATATCACTACTCCATCACTACAAGAGGTATATTAAGCAAGAAACGGAATATTCCGAGTGGATCCGAAATATACTCCAGAAAATCAACATTCATAAGACACTCATTAGTGAAGGCGGGGCTTTGGGTACAGATCGATTCCTTCCGGGTCCGTTAGCTGAGAGGACATCTCTGTGGGTTTGTGTTCTCGGGGCTATAGATGACGGTGTAGATAAAGTTTCATCCAATCAATGAGTCAGTGCGCATTTATATGGAATTCCCTCAATTCCTCGATAACAGAAAATTTACATACTACCAACTGCAAATATTGTAACTGATAAATTGTATGATGACCCCTCAGCAGACAAAGTTAGAGATTCATCCGAAGACAGGGCCATATTTATTTAAAACGGCAATGGCTGATGAATATTAAAAGTCGTGTAAGTCACAAGGAAAATAACGACGTTCACTCCTTTGAAACGATACATTTAAGATTTCGTGCTGACGAACAGTGTAAAGTTTCAATGGTATATTTATATACTACATCGTCTTTCATTATTGTTCTTGTACAAATGGACATACATGGTCGTACGTGGTACGGAATTAAAAACATCAGCCAACTTTATGAAATGAAAATATATGTACACTGTCTTTATATTTGTTTCGGTTTTTGCGTTGTAATCAGCAGTAAATAATACGGACACTTTAGCACATATTGACGTCACATGCTACCGTCAGAAATGAAACTGCTAACCTCTGATATAATATGGAAAGGTGTTCCCACATGCCGGTCCAATTACAGGTTTGGTCAGTATTCTTGTGTCGTTGAAGGAGTCGTACCACCCAGGCAATAGATTGCCACTATCTTGGACTTGTCCCAAAATAGTATTTGCTGGTCCTCTTTTCTCTATTTCTGGTATCCTTGTCGAAACAGTACAAGGGTCTACAAGCATAATTACATCAAGTTTGGTCAAATGTTCATAAGCAGCATGATTGCACGTACTTGTGTCAAGGCAAATGGATAACTCTCCCAAATGTATTGAAATTATTGTTCCAATATGTTGTCACATAGTGGGGTTGCTGACATGTATTTAACAGACGCTAAACATATCTATCTTCATTGATGTTATTTCTTTATGTATATATTTATCATTAACGGAACACATTCAGAACTGCTTGAATTACACTTTTGAACTTCGTTGTATACCTCTATTCCACACCACAAACTTGGGGAAAGACTTCATTCCTTGATCCATAAGGCATGTGTCACTACACGTGGTAGCCATGTACATCTCAATTGTCGAGGTTTAGTACAATTTTTCAAAATTCCAAGCATCCGTTTACTTAGAAAACAATATGTGAAATGCTGGACTTCCTCATATAAGAATCACTGTGAAATTTCGAATATAACATTTAGGCAAGAAGTGGGCATGCCTAGGGGCGCAAATTGTGTTCCCCTCCTTGCTGATCGATGATGCACATGAATCGGAGATTGTGCTTGGATGGACAGAACACGGGAATTTGGCCAAATTATTAGCGTTAGCTTCAGATATATCTATGATCGTTCAATAATGGTCAAATAGCCAAAACCCTTCCACTGATATAACATGGCTTTGCGGTAGTCGTAGCCTTAAGATCACTTTGTGGAATTTTTGGCCCTGAACAAGACAGAAAGGCGACCAATGAAAATGTCTCATATTTTTTCATATTTCGATCTATACATGAATATTCAGAGTGACAAATACCTATTATCGCGACTGTATGACAAGATGCATGACTTCAAATTTCCAATAGTCAACTATCCCTATATGTATATTTACTGCATTATTCATACTTTTGAGGTACAATATAGCATTCTATTTCTGCGAGGATTTCAAGATTCAAAGCCGCCTTAGAAAAGCTTTCAATACGTTTTATGCTTAACAAACGGATGACATTTCCAAATTTGATACATCAGTGACCTAAATAATATTCGATGCAATTTCCTGTTTAGGCTTGTACCGAATGTTACCGTGTTAGTTCCAGTGAACAACTGACATGCCCTTGGGTGTGTTTGTGACGGCTGCTACCCACATGGCAGGTCACACTCACCTTTTCTCGAACAACTTGTGTTGATGAATCACTATCTGTCACTGTAGTCAGACTGTCACAATGATCTCATCTATTAGCAGAGACTTCTTATGACTATGGAAAGGGATTTGTTGCTATTATTTACAACATTGCAACATTACGACAAACATAGGTTACTTGGGGAACTTACTTATTGTTTAAGTGAGTGAGTGATGGGAATACCAGCAATGGGCGTCATACATTGTACCCATGTAGGGAATCGAACCCGGCCCTAACGTACACATGTCAACAGTTTAACCACAAAGGCTACCCAACCGCTCACTTGAGGTTTGATTTAATAGGACGAACAAGACATAATTACATTGGTTATTGCGATTGAAAATAAGAAGTACTTACCACCTTCACACGTACGACCTGTATATCCTGTCCTACATGCGCATGTGAAACCGTCACGGACTGAAGAACATGTTCCTCCATTTGCACATGGCTTACCTCTACAGTAGTTAGGTGCTGAAACAAAATGAGGAAAATCGTGAAGATTAAGATGCAGTAAACACTATGAACATTACACTACCCTGACTAATACCCTTTGATCATTATCAGATCAGACTGATCTTATGTCGTACTGATCGTCAGACATATCTGATTTCTAAGAACCACGACTGAGCAGAGTTTGGAGAACTTGGTCGAGTTACGTATACGGCGTGGCAACGTCATGTGGGCGGAAAGACCAATGTGTCGCAGAACGAAGACAACATGATTAGAACATACAACAATCGATTCCTTGCCTGGCTAAAATACGCTAACGGAATGTTATTATGTTTTCATGTTACAAACACGTTAACATGCGGACAAAGGAAAGTATATGTAAAAATCTTTACAGTCCTGACATGCTTCCATGAGGGAGGGAGTTCGTTGTAACTCAGTTTTGAATGGTGTTTCAGTTATATCACGGCGCGACAAATTCTTGTGGGTGGAAAACCAAGAAACTGTACTCTGGCAGTCTACATCACAGGGCCACCCAAAAAAAACCATGAGCATTATATTCTCGATGTACAACTAGACCCATATCAAAACACTTATTATGATCTCACCAAGGCAGAAGACACTCCTTGCAACATTGGTCTCGATCCGGTAGGCCTCACCATCATTGGGACATGCCCGTGTTTCAATTTCAAATGTTGTGGAACATGTGTGGGTTTCGTTTTGCACACATACTACTGAGACATTGCTTCTTCTTTTTTCTACAAGAAAACAAATGAAAACGCTATATAGAATGCAAGCAATGCGCGGAAGCGAAGGGGCTAACATGAAGTACATGGTATACACGAAATGTATTAGTTTTTCCACTCTTTTTTATCTCAGATCTATGTCTGTACAAAGTAGAAAAGGTTGACTATTGAAACTGCTAACACAATTCACATGCCGAGTTTCCTCAACAAATGCCCTTGTTCGAAACTTACCCCTGTTCACCAAGTAGCGAATGGATATCCCAGTAGAATGAGAAGGTTCTATATAAATGGTTTTAGCACCTAAAACGCAGTTGAGGTTGTGTAGTGAATGTAATTGGAATGAACACAGATCGAGTTAATAATGTCATTCGGTTTTTTTCCATACTTACTGTTGGGGTTTGGGCTGGATTAGTAGTAGCTTATTATTATTATGTACAGATTCAAATAGAAAGAGCAAAGAGGGTTTTGGTGATCCTGGCACAGTCAGGCTGGTTCGACTCATTATCAGATCAGGGCCCTTGCCCCTTGTCTGAGAATGTGAAGACTCCCCAAACTGCAGCCTTCTGCACTATCCCGATTGTCAGAGAGAGTTATTTTTCCTGCTGCAAACCCGGGTACTCTGCCATTGTCAGTCAACAGATTTGGAGGTACCAAACATAAATTCATTGCATAATCTACATTTCATAATTGCCTGGAAGAAGTCGGCTTGCCTGAAAAGTGAAACAGAAGGCTTTCTTTTTGCTGCTCAAGACCAGTCACTTCCCATTCCGTTTTATTTTCAGTCAACATTATGGTAGTTTTGTAGAGGCAGTATTGTTGGTCACTGCTTTAAGACATGAAAGGAGGTCTGTTACCTTTTTTAATACAAATGTTTGCAAAAATAGCAACAAGGAATATTATTCATATTTGCCTTTCCTCCAAATTGGATATTTTCCTCCACAGGATTCTACACCAGGTGGATAATCCAACATAAGCCCATTATCCGCTGCTTTCAAGACCTTTCCTGTCTTTGTTGAATCATCTCTTCTGAGGTCTCCAAAAATTGGCCACCGAAAGAATAGGTAAGGATTCTTTCTGATGCATTCTTCTGAATCTACAATACGTGATAATGACAATTAATCCTCAATGTTTGTCTTCAAGAACAAACTTATACAGTGGACTATGTATTACGGGGATGAAGATGATGATGTAATGATCACAAGATGTGCATTCCAGAATGTGCATGAAATAAAACAAGAATGTCACAATTTACTAAATGTTTGTCTGACAAATTATAATTGACAAAGTCTTTGAAGTCTGCTCCTTTAATTGACATCCATGACCAATATAAGTGTTCTTTTCGTACAAAGAGCGAGAAAAATATATATTGAAGATATTCATATACGAAATATAGACAAGAAATACTCAAGAGCTTCTTAATTGTAAACTTGAAACATTGGATTTAATTTCAAACCTCTTTGATAACAGTAATTATTATATCAAACGCCGTGAGGATTTCACACAATATTGATGACAAATTTCAAAAACATTTATGAAATGTTTTGTACAGTGCTCCGCTGTGGATAAAGAACATGGCCTGAATTGATTGACACAAAATATAAACAGCATGTGACAAGTTCTATGATGCCTGAAGTAGCTTCTTTAGGTATAGTGAAAGTACTTTTACCAATCACCAGCTAAATAATGTATTTGTTCTTTGCTTCTTGTATAATGTCACAGAAAGCAATATGCAACCTATAATCTGGACGAGTGAAAGCCTTTCCCCCACCTCCCTAAAGCCTAAGTGACGTTCTTTGAAGTAGACATGGTGCCATACAGTAATAAGAAAGGGGCGGACTATATACTCCTTTATTGTCATCAGACTGACCAGAAGTGCGAAAACAGTAACTATTGTTTGAGAAAAGGAGGCTGTATCTTTACAATAGCTCTATGAACGTACATGAATGTGAATGCGTTTGCTAGTCGTGTTAAATCTATTGGAACTACATCTCAATGTAAGTTGTGATAGTTTTGTGATCAATTAACATACAAGCCTGATCATCCGTACGATTTACAATGTATAGTTTAGTATGCTTCAAAACGTAGCATGCATCCACACACCATGACCCAACCTCAGGGTACAGGTGGGTTTTTTATCATGGGAATGTTAACAGAAGGTGTCATTATCAAACATTATGCAGTGTAGTGTTGTCAATTTCTGAAAGTTGTTGTTTTCTTTTGTTATGATCTTTAACATAAAACAAATTCAACCTAGAAAAAATAACGTGAACGGTATTTCTATTCATTTACTCTTTATGAAAACATGACGAAATAATGTGACTTACCAATTCTACAGTAGACATGTGAAGGAAGAATTAGAAGAATGACAAGGATTTGTCTGGTCATTGTCTGCAAGAAAGATATTTCACGATCGTTAACTTAACTATTTTATTATCTTCTATAGATTGTTTCTGTGTTCCTTATACTACCGCTCTTCATAAATAAATAAAAGAAAAAGAAAAGATTTTAATATCCGACCATTCGCCGACCTGTTGAATGTTTGAAAGTTGTGATGAGGCCTTCATTGGCAGAATCCTCAAAGTGGAAAAGAGGAAACAAAATTGGAATAAACCCATTATGTCCCAGCCAGCTGTCATCTAAAGTCTGCATGTACTACAAGAAATATGTGTAGTTGTTACCACTGACAAGGCGTAACATTACAAAACCATTTTATGTAAGTATCACTTCCGTGATGCTGTTATTGAGTAACATGGTAAAAGTGACATATAAAAAGGCCACAAAAGCGCCAGTGCGGTACCTGAGAAGGAAATCGGCCAAAACCACGTATCAGTACCATCAAGTTTTGACTTGATTCTAAAACCCGAAAAAATGTCTATTCTTCTTCAGGATTGGATTACAAAACTCAATAAACATCCGTACAAAGCGAGATATATTGCTGGGTCCTGCAAATGTTCCACCAAATCATAGTCACAAAGATTAGCCAGAACTCTCAATACAGCCAAGGAAGGGCTTTCATTATATTCACAGAAAGTATTTGAGGCAAGTGGGAGTAATAATATGTGGATTCTCAAAAACTCAAAGGATTTACTTGAAGTTCTACAGTCTCTGAAAAGAAAGTAAGGTTTACCACATTCAAGGCCTCAGTAAAGCTTTCATTTTTTATGGTAGACATGTGGAGGATATTTCCAAATTTTAGTGACAAAATAGATATCTGATACAATTTCACATTCTCATTTGTATCATATGTTTTTTGGTTTTGGCGAACAATTGACTTTCCCTTGCATGTGTTTGTGACGGGTGTCATAGGCGAGGCAGCGTATGCTAACCTTTTCACAAACGCCTGGTATCATCACAATTTCATAGTGAGTGAGTGAGTGAGTGAGTATGGTTTAACGCCGCTTCAAGCAATATTCCAGCAATATCACGGCGGGGGACACCAGAAATGGGCTTCACACATTGTACCCATGTCGGGAATCGAACCCGGGTCTTCGGCGTGACGAGCTAACGCTTTAAACCACGAGGCTGCCCGACCGCCCCAATTTTGATAGTGATTCATAAACACAATGATGTAATCGAAATCTTACAATGGAGTCTGCTTTTAGCAGACCTTTCCAATGTTTATGGGAATGGTTTTGTCACGTATGCTTACCATGTGCTCTTTGGAAATGCATGTACGACCTTCTCATAGACATTCAAATAACAATGTAATGTAATAGACTTATTTAGACAATTAAATCAGATACAAATAAAATGCACTATCTGGTTCTGTATTTGTCAATGAGTCAATATCACGTGGCCATATTAGTAGTTGATGACTTGTCTTATATTCATATAGTTCCAAATGAGGATTTTGTGTAAATCTTGATGTCTTTAGAAATGGAGGGATAATATCTCAGTACATCTCCCCGAGGCAAGAGAGTTAACTGACTATAAAAGTCCGGTTTCCACCCTTGCCGAACTAGGCTGGTATTATGGAGTTACATTTGGGCTGGACTAACGAGTCTATGCATAGTCCAATCAAAAAGTGATACGAGAGGTGGAATCTGATTGGTCCATAGGAGAGGCTTAGAAGGGACATAACTGGTAATAGCAAGTGGTGGCGTTAAAATCGAGCCCAGTAATTCCAGCCTAGTTCGGCAAGGGTGGAAACTGGACTTTAACAGTCAGTTAACTCCCTTGCTTTGGGAAGATGATCTCAGTATGAACTATGAACAGTGGATAAAATAAAGCTAGAGTTTTACTTTAAATACCAGGGAATTTTGTTCTCCTCGCGATAAAGCATGTAAAACTCTTGCTATGCAAACACGTAATTTAAGGCAATGAGCACAGTTTTAAAATCATTTAAAATGAGAAAGGAAAGTTGTAACACGCTGGAGAAGTGGCTTAAAATAAGTGGACTGAATTACAAAATACACTTCATAGACTGATTGACAACGATCCACGCGTAAATACAGTCAGGTAACACATTGTCACAACACGGTCTTAAGCTTAATTTGCTCATACTGTGGACCTTTTTGCAAGAGACAGAACATCCCATCGACCAGTCCACCAAGAATGAGATGAGTTAGAATATATATACTCAGCAACAACAGTTCCTGTGACACGATGTAAAACAAGAACCTGATCAAAGTAGACGCACACAAGTTTACACATGCAATGACTCATGTCTATCACAGAAATGACGTTATGAGAAGAGAAAGATGCAAGAACAGAATTATCAAGTTCTCAAGTTCTTTATTAACTCAAACCGCCGACCGGTGGTATATGAGCAATATAATAGCATACATATATACTAAAATACGATGTGATCAAGTGGCAACAGTGCTTTACTTTAGTGCAGAAAGTAATATTTTTACAAATTTAGACAGTTTTTTAAGATTGTAAGTTCTCATATTTGACATCAAATGCTTAAAGGAAATAATGTTTGACCAGTTTAGATATCTATTATCAATTAATATTTTTCTTTGCTGGTCAAAATATTCACATCTAAAGAGGTAGTGGAACTCGATCGTCGGCTATAGCAGGGGAGGTACAAAGCTTACATGTGCGATATTCGCGTGGGATGCCCTCCCAGCGGCCAGTCTCAATCGGTAAATTATGATTTAGGGTTCCTAGTTTTAAAATTGGAGTAAAGATTTCTGGTGATAAGAGAAGATATTGTTCAAGTTTGAAATTTGTATTGTAAATTCTATAGCTGCAAGCTTTGGAGCTTGTAGTTAAATCGACATTCCATTTTTGAATAAATTGATCTTTTAAATTGTTTTCAATTTTTGAGACTAACCAGCCGTGACTTACAGAATCCGGTTGATTAAAGACTACAGAAAGACCACATCTGTTTAATAAGCTCTTAATGGACTCCACCCAGTTGCTTCTATTGTTATTAATATTATTTATATAATTTATGTATTTCAATATTAGGGTTGAAAATTTTATAACAGGTCGATTATTACTTATATGGTTATGCCAAAACGAGATCATTCTCTTATATATGAGTATACTTATTGGAAATCTCCCAAATTCACCATACAACATATAATCGGGTGTTGAGTTTCTAAGATTGAAGGCAAGTTTAATGAATTTCAAATGTACTCTTTCCATGGTTTTCGTATCCCCAAGTTTTACAACCATAGGTTAGAATAGGCAAGATTAGAACATCAAAGGCTTTGAGAAGGCAATCAACAGGTAGATTTAAATTCCGTGCTCTTTTTAATAAGGAGAACATGGCTTTTGTAGCTCTGTCAGCGAGGTTTTTAATTGCACACACAAAACGACGGTTTCGATGGAATAAAATACCCAGATAGACATAACTATTTACAATTTCTAAATCAACGGAGTTAAAATGAAACTTCAAATTCTGGGGTAGGTTGGTGCCTGATCCAAATATTAATATTTTAGTTTTGCAGGTGTTTACCTCTAATTTCCATTTTTTGCAATATTTGTGAAATGAATCAAGGGACTTTTGAAGTTCAGGTGCGTTGTCACAGAAGAACAGAATTATCAATTCACACGTCAGTAGCGTGCGTGCCCCCCTCTCGCTTGGATGCATGCAATGCATCTCCTTCGCATTGAACGGATCCAACGCCTAACACAGTATTGTGGGATGGCATCCCATATCTCCACCAGCCTGCATCTCAGTTCCTGTACTGTAGTCGGAACACGTGATAAACTTTGGAGACGGCGGTCCATTTCATCCCGCATGTGTTCAATTGAATTATAAACCTACTGGCTGTGTGTTAAACTCGATACTGAGTTTTTGAAATTGTGGTAACACCTCGCAGGAGGTATTGCAACGGTTGTTAAACCTCGCAATCATTGTAAACCCTTGATAGAACAAAACTACGAAAAGCCTACGAGTCGCAGGTGCAGATTTCGTGCCATTGCGAGACGCACGTGCAGATTTCGCACATTTGCGAAACCCACGTGCTGAGGTCACCGGTTTCATTGAACCGAGTTCACAACTGCAGGCGATATTTCATCTCCGATACAGGTTATACATTTGAGAGTTTTTATTACAGTTAAAGTAGTATAGGTAATAGGGGTTCTGGCTCACTTCCACTGGAGCCAGATTTATTACCTATACTGCTACTACAGGAGGATTTTTTTATGCCAAAATTATTGTGCGATTTAACGATAGTCATGAGATTGGCTCTAGCTCACCAATACCTAGGGCCAATGATATAAATTTTAATAGGTAATAGGGGTTCTGGCTCACTTCCACTGGAGCCAGATTTATTACCTATACTGCTACTACAGGGGGGATTTTTTATGCCAAAATGATTATGCGATTTAACGATAGTCATGAGATTAAGTTAAATTGGCTCTAGCTCACCAATACCTGGGGCCAATCATTGCTTTAGATGAGCCTAAATGGTAATAAAAATATTCTTCATTATTTTTATCGATAAAGCGATATTCAACATTTTTATTAAGTTTTTCGTTCATTTTACTAGGAGACCAGACTATATAACTACACTCTTCTTGTAAATTGATAAGAAACAATTGATAACCGTATTTGGTTGGTTTGACATCACTGATATAATAAATACCTTGTGGTAATTCTTTCCATTTAATAGCTTTCTCCATTATTATATATATTTATGTAAGCATTTGTCTAAATGTGATCAAACGATAGTAAGCAATCTATTTTTAATCTCCAACCAGTTCTTTGGTTTTGGCACGGAATAATTGACGCGCTTGTTGCCTCCCCTGTTCTATGAACTTTTTTTTCTCGTCTTCGCTAATACCACTGGTCTTACGAGATTTTGATCGAATCTCCTGCTTCATTTCATTGTATTTGGTGAGTTCCGACAGCACTAAACGAAACTCATCCTCGGATATCTTACAATCGGCCATTGCTGTCGAAATATGATCCTCAATGCTGTTCAACT